ATTAAAAATTTCATCTAAAAAGTACAAATTTATTGTATATTCTTTCTTTCACAAAGAAGTATGACAAAAGAATAACTTAATATAGGATTGAGAATTATGATTTTCTGAATTAGGAATAACAATTATGATGTGAATTACTTTATGTAACCATAAAATCTAGGAAAAATATGAATAAAGTTATCATGGAGTGAAATAAAACCAAGTTTGAGTACCATACTATAGCTTTTATTTCAATTCTCAACATCCTTTATTCCATTAAGTTTAATTTGCACATGATATAAATGCTGACTTGCCTGCTGAAACCAGTAGCAGATTAAAAGACAAATAAGACTATGAGAAAAGGAAAAATAAAGTCATGTTAAAACTGTTCTACTCTTAGGGATAAAGCACTGAATGGAAATTGAGGACAACTGGCTTCTATTAAAGGTTTAAACTAGTCCAGTATGACATAAAAATCACTTATCTACTCACCTTACTGTTGTTCTCTACAATTAAAAATGAGTACAAAATCCTATATTCAAAAGTACACGTGATAGTCCTAAAATATGTGACTTCACATACTGCTAGACAACTTATACTCAAAATTATTTCAGTGGATATTAAAAAGTATTGGGCCGGCCGAGTAGCTTGTTATTTAAGAGTTGGCTTGGGAGCGTGAGCTTTGAGCAGCAGGGCTGCCAGTTTGGATCCCACATGGGCCAGTGATGCTGCGCCCTCTACAGCTAAGATGGTGAACAACAGCTCCACCTGGAGCTGGGCTACTATGAGTGGCCATCAACAGTGTAGGCTGCAGTGGGCTGCCGTGAGTGGCCTCCAATGGCTGGCGACTGACTTACCTCAGCAGGAAGAGGGCAATGATCACAAGACCAACATAGGCCAGTGAAATGACGTCCTCCACAACTAGACTGAAGAACCAAAGGCCAGCAACTTGTCTGTCCCCCTCCCCCAATTCCCCAATAAAATCTTTCAAAAACAAAAAGTATATAGTGTCCTTTTCAAATGGTCCTAAGCAGTACGTATTAATTTTGAAAAAACAGAGACGTGAACTGCAGAGTTTTAAAAAATAATACTCTTATAAATAGCTTGGGTTCACCATTCCTTTTGCATGGTACCTTAGCTAGCGTATGAACTCTTGTGAGCTGTTGCACAGATAATGTCAGGATCAACAGGGACGTCAACCTCACCGCGCTGCCCACAGATGTGTCAATCCTCAGAATGCGTGGCCTGAACACTTCCAATGATGGAGAATATACTACATGCCAAGGCATTTTGAAAGGCTCCATTAGAAAGTTTATCTTTCCTCTTTCTTGTAGTATTTACCCAGTGATCCCAATTCTACTACTTTAAGTCTTACCAAGTGAGAAACCAGCTCGTTCACATAAGAACCCTTCAAATATTTGTAGACAGTTATAATCTAGCACTATTAGGACCATTTTGAATCGTTCCAGTTTAGGTCATTTTCCTTTTAAGACCTCTGGTTTAAGGCCTGGGTGCACAGATCCCAGTATGATTCTATCGGTAAGGTAATCACTGACCACATTCTAGATATAACTTCCATTACTGTAGGATAATATCTCCATACTGAAATCTCCCAAGTTCTTTTCACATTTCAATTCTAAGCACTTATTTTCATATTTGAATTTAATTTTAATTTAATTATACTAACAACACAGGTTTTCTGGACTCAAGTGTATGATCTTATATTTATTCATTAAATTTCATTCAGCTCATTAATTCTGCCTGAAAATATCTATTTGGATCTTCAGTCTGCAATTCAATTTCTGTGTTATTCTTTTCTTACATAAAATTTGTAATGTAAGCTGTTTTCATTTTTACCCAAATCACTGACAGAAGTGGAGAAATACAGTAGTAAATGTAGTAATATAATACTACAAAGCATTACTAATGGCCATTATAAACCTACCTCTTCATTATTAATGATTCTCTAAAAACATTTGGGTAAAGCCCTTCAACAGTTACTAATCCATTTACCTAACCTTGAATTATGCTCATATATTCCCCATCATTCCCCAAAATGAACTTTGGATGGATGAAAGGTATAATGTGAAAAATGTAACTATAAAAATTCATATGGAAGAGTAAAGGTACAAGAACAGGTACAAGAATAGCCACAGCAATTCTGCAAAAGAATTTTAGACTCAGTTGTTCAAGTTTCAATAAAAAGTCTGTTAAATTTTTTACGTGAATTGTATTGAATTTATAAATTAAAGAAGAATTATATTGTGGGGCTATCTAGAATCTACTTTTTTGAGGTCATCTAGCAACATTATAGCCTTAAGCAGGAGGATTTTCCTTTATTTGTCTATATTAAAGCTAAAAAAATAGGTAAGTACCTTTAGCTGTTTTAAGCAATTTGTTAAAACCCGCACTTGAGTTTTAGATTCCCAGATATTATTCTCATTCATTCGTTCAATAAATGCTTAGTCCTGTAATTTCCTTTAAAGGTGCGAGCATTAACTCTATTTGTTGCTCACAGGTTACTTTTAGTGTGTCTGGAAACACGTTCTTTTTCTCCTTATTTGTCTTGATTTTAAAACTATCACAAGTATTTAGGGTTGACTGAAAATCAGGCTCTGAATAAGCCAGGTTTTACTATCACTTCAAGGGATTAAGATTAAAGTTCTACTCACCCGACAGTTTAAAAATGAGCTGTTCCAGTTTATTCGATATTCTAGTGGAAATGATTTGGAGCAATATCAAATTTTTTTTTTTAAGATTTTATTGGGGAATCGGGGGAAGGGGAACAGACAAGTTGCTGATGTTTTGCTCCTCAGTCTAGTTGTGGAGGACGTCACCTCACTGGCCCAAGGTGGCACCATCATTGCGCTCTTCCCTGGTGAGGCAGATCAGTCGCCGGCCTCTAGACGGCCGCTCACCGCAGCTGCTGACCACTCACAATGGCTGCTGGCTACACACGGTAGCCTATGGCAACCCACTACAGCAGGGGCTGCAGCCTTCGCCGTAGCCAGCAACCCATGGCAGCTCAGCTCCAGGTTGAGCTGTTGTTCAGCGTCTTAGCTGCAGAGGGCAGTGTCACTGGCCCTCATATGTGGGATCCGAACCGGGGCCCTCTGGCATCCCAAGCCAGTTCTCAACCAACTCACCACTTGGCCGGCCCACAATATCAATTTTTGAATAGCAAAAATTAGTTAGTAAAGCTTAATAAAAATAATTGAGCAAATTATTTTATAGTCATAGCAAACATTTGTACGGTCCTAGTAAACACTGATATAGTACTACTTATGTGCAAGACACTGTTCTATGTGCTTTAGAAACATTAAATGATTGAATTCTCAGTAATTCATAAAATACTTTTAAATACTAACGTATCCCATGGCCTTTAGGATAAATACCAGTCTCTGGACAAGTAGATAAGAAGAATTTTAGGTGTCAAGAGTTTAGAAGGTTATAGAGCTTAGTATAAAGAAGCCAATTTTAAGGTTAGATTTACTATTCTCTTCTCTTCAAATTCACAAAAACAAACCAAAGCTAGCAAGTTATGAAATTCTGCCTGTTTTTCTAGCTAAAATCTTATGCTTTCTTTCAAAGCTTGTTAATTTGTTCATAAATATTATTTAGTAATTACTAAATATATCATGTTGAAAAAACATCAACAAAAAGCCAAGTAAATCTTTAGGGGAAATCATATAGATTTATAAATAGAAGGGTTATAAATACTCATAAAAGATAATTTAAAGATAGGTTGTAACAGCACTGCAATAAAAACAGTTGATCTATAAATTTATTTTATATTAAGATCTTTGAAATTAGACATACTTTCACATTACAGGAAAGATTTCTTCAATATTACATTCAGTAAAATTCCTCCATGGGTCAAGTTTATAAAGTTGATGTGTATTGAGAAGTATAATAATTTGAGCCATTCTAAAAGATTTTGACATTCTAAAGGATCAACAGTAGGTTAATTATATGAAGAATTGTCTTTGTTTTTAGTTTCATATATTGCTTAAATCACAAATTAATGTGCAAGTGTTCATTTAACAATTAAAAGACCCACTGGACTTATTTTCAAAGTTTATCAGTATGTGAAAGGTACATGGAAACTCTATATCACCACAACAACTGTTCTCTCTGAAATTATTTCAAAATAAAAAGTTAAAAAAAGGGTAACCATTGTTTAGTCTGCATGTAGTCGAACCACTGAAAATTCAGCGTTCAATGAGGTAATGATATTTAACTTACTATTCATCAGTGGTTTTCCTTTTAACTAGGCTATAAAATATCCTTTTCTATTGTCATTCTCTCTCTTCCCCTCCCTCCAACACACATGAATCAGAACATATAGATTTTTAAAAAATGAACTGGGGTGTGTACAATGGTACAACCACTTTGGAATTAAGTTTGGCAGGTTTTTTTTAAAGTAAAACATTCATCTACTCTATGATTAGCAATTCCATTCCTAAGTATTTATCCAAGAGAAATAAAAACATATTCTCACAGAGAAGTATAAAAAAATGTTCATAACAATTTTATTCATGAGACCTCCAAACCGGAAAAAAATTAAATGTCCATCAACAGGTGAATAAATTAACAAACTGTAGTTGTTCTTACTCAGCAATAGTAAATAATCAACTGATACAAAAACAAAATAGATGAAACATATAATGTTGACTCAAAGAAGATAGACATGAAAGAGTACATGTACATACTGTACGATTCAATTCATTTTCAGTCCAAGAAGAGCAAAACTCAACTATGGTGACAGAAATCAGACAGTGTTTGCCTCCTGAGTAGTGAGTCAGATTGACAAACACGGTATTAGGAAACGCTCTAGGATGATTAATTGCTCTGTATCATGTTTCAGTGTATGAAATAATTACACATTACAAAAATAATGCATGTATATTATACTGCAATTGAAATGAAAATTATATTTTATTGAAACTATATTTTCTGAAGGAAAAAGTAACAAGAATAAAATTGAAGAGTTTTAACATTTCTATTTTCTAGACACTTACCTGTCTAAGAGCTGATTATGTTTTTCAACAGCATCCTTTTCAGCCATCACTGCGCGTTCCCTTTCAGCCACAGCATTATCCCTTGCTTCTCGGAGATTTCTAATATTTAAACATACATTAGATTATTCCAAATACATACGTATCCATCTTTTAAAGATTCATAAATGAGCTTGCCTGGAATTGGACTATCTGTTATTCAAGGTTCCCTAGAAGATGGCAGTCCAAACTGTGAATGAATTTGCCTGGCTTGGGGAGTTTGTTAGCAGCACGCAGCAGCGTAGGTGCAAACATGGTCCATCTCCCAATGTCATGTTACCTTTCTCCATGTGGGTTTAAGGTAGGCTAAACAATAACTTGTTTAATAACATAATCAAATGAGTTAGGTATAATCACTCACATATTACCCACACCACAACTTAGGTTTTGGGATGTTAATAAATGTTCTATAAAATACTTGACGTGGAAGATAAAATATAGAGATCACAAGTATCAAAATGGAAATGAAGTCTGGAACATGAGTGAGAAAACAACTGAAGTGACAGACCTTGGGATCTCACTTGCAGATGAAGGGAAGGGAGCACAGAAGGACTGACTGATTAGGAGAAAGCAGAGGGACAAAGTGCAGGAAGTCCTGATGCGATGACGACAGACACATTAAGTGGAAGTTGGTGGACAACCAAGATGAAAGACTAGAGATTGCTGTCGGAGAATGGTGATCTGAGGTAGAATAGTACTTTCAGTGATAGAATTTTAGCTGATAATAAGATCTAGGGTGTGACCACTGGAGTAACTTAACGAAATACAGCTGAGATGAAGGTCAATGTTCATGTAGGGCTCACAAAGGATGAGGCTAGAGTATTAGCTAAAGCACTCATTTACAGTGCTGATAGCAGGAATTAAAATTGACAGAAAGATACATTTAGTGACAGTTAAGGGGAATGTCCAAAAGGTGGACGGTAACAACAGTGAGTAATTAGGAGATGAAACAGCCAGACAGAGCCTTCAAAGATCAAATCTTGCTTTTTTTTTGAAGATTTTTATTGGGGAATTGGGGGATGGGAACAGCGCTGGGGAATTGGGGGAAGGGGAACAGACAAGTTGATGTCCTTTTGTTCTTCAGTCTAGTTGTGGAGGACGTTGCTTCACTGACCCAAGTTGGCACCATCATTGCGCTCTTCCCAGGGGAGGCACATCAGTCGCCGGCTTCTGGACGGCCGCTCACAGTGGCTGCTGGCCGCTCACGCTGGCTGCTGGCTACACACGGTAGCCCATGGCAACTCACTGCAGGGGCTGCAGCCTAGGCAGTCACAGGCAACTCAGGGCGGCCCAGCTCCAGGCTGAGCTGTTGTTCAGCATCTTAGCTGTAGAGGGCAGTGTCACTGGCCCTCATGTGTGGGATCTGAACCGGGGCCCTCTGGCGTCCCAAGCCAGTTCTTAACCATCGCACCACTCGGCCGGCCCCTTGCTTGTTTTTTAATCAAAGTGGAAGTTTGGATCAAGAAAAATACCAATAGTAAGCTTCTGTCAGAGCCAATTTTTTCAAAAATCCTATTCTGTTTCAGAGTATAACATAAATAGAGTGTCACATAAATGATTTTGCTCACTTAATCCCTACAAATCCCTCGTGTTGTATTTTCTAACCTATTTTATAGCTGAGTAAACTGAAGTTTAGAGAGCTTAAGTACCTGGCCCCAAGTCACGTGGCCTAACAGTTAAGGCCATACTTTGAACCCAACTATGTTTTACTTCAAAGAGTGTTTTTTTACATCATATCACCCTATCTCCCATAAAGAACTGGATTGGGGGCTGGCCAAGTAGCACATTGGTTAGGAATTGGCTTGGGACATCAGCTCTGAGCAGCAGGGCCCAGGTTTGGATCCCACATGAGGGCCAGTGACGAAGCGCCCTCTACAGCTAAGATGGTGAACAACAGCTTGACCTGAAGCTGGGCTGCTGTGAGTCGCCGGTGACTGTGTAGGCTGCAGTGTAGCTGGCCGGCAGCTGGCATGCACTTTCGTGAGCTGCTGTGAGCCACCGTGAGCAGTTGTCCAACGGCCAGTGAGTGACTGCCTCAGCCGGGAAGAGTGCAATGATAACACCAACATGGGCCAGTTAAGCTATGTCCTCCACAACTAGACTGAAGAACAAAAGGACAGCAACTTGTGTGTTCCCCTTCCCTAATTCCCCAATGCTGTTCCCCTCCCCCCAAGACCCCAATAAAATCTTAAAAAAAAATAAAAAAAACTGGATGTTAGAATTTGGTTTTTATTATTCATGGAGAATGCCAGCAGGAAGTCATGAAAATCCACACAGTTTGAATAAATCTACCTAGTAACTATTAGATAGAAAAGCTTAGTGGCCATACTTGCTGTGTCAGTACTCAACGCCATCTTTTGCATGGTGCAAAAGATGTAACAAGCTTAAAATTGAAAACATGTCAACCAATAGCGATTCATCAGTGAAATAGTTTATGAGCCAGAAATAAGATAATTTCAAAGGAACTAGAGTACAGATAACTCTTATTAAAAAGAAAATAACTTCTGTATACTATTATCGAAGTGGAAGTACATATCATAAAATATCATAAATGGTATGTCATTTTCTGGTATCCTGATTGCAATGACCTTAAAAAAATATTCTATTACTGAACTAACTGAAAAATGAAAATTTACTTTTATAGATAGAATAAAATTCTCAAAGTATATTAAACATTTATGTATTCTTCATCCCTAAATGATCTATATGTTTTAGTTAGTAAATCATCACAAATTGGTTGCAGTTTTCATTTCTCGAATATAGCCTCATTATTCTGTTATTATTTTTTCTTTAAAAAAATTTTTTTTTTAAATTGGGGAACAGTGTGTTTTTCCAGAACCCATCAGTTCCTGCCTAGTGAAGTAGTTGTTTCAATCTAGTTGTGGAGGGCGCAACTCAGTGGCCCATGTGGGGATTGAACTGGCAACCTCGGTGTTAGGAGCCTGTGCTCCAACCAACTGAGCCAACTGGCCACCCCTTCTATAAGTATTTCAGTAGCAAAATTCCAAGATCATATTTACAATACTGATTAATCATGAATGCTTAGTTGGTAGATGGAGAAGCTTCAGTCGCTAACAATATTTTCTTTCCTGCACTAACAGGCATTTGAAATAAAAACAAGTTGCAAGGGAATTCAGACTAAACTAACACTAGGTTGAGAGAAGGTATAATTACAGGGTACTACCCGTCTGACATCGCACATAGCTATTACAATATCATTGACTATATTCTCTATGCTGTATTTATATCCCGTGACTATAGATATTTTTAAATTATAGTTGACATCAATATTATATTAGTTTCAGGAGTACAGAGTAGTGGTTAGGCATTTATATAATTTATGAAGTGATCCACCCGGTAAGTCTAGTACCCACCTGACATTATAGTTTTGACAATATTATTGATTATATTCCTCACACTGTGCTTCACATACCCATGACTATTTTGTAACTACCAATTTGTACTTTCTGTTCTTTTTCTTTTCCTTTTTTTTTTTTAGCTGAGCCATTCTGCTACCTATTGGCAGCTCAGTGGCAGCTCAGCTCGGGCTGGGAATTGAACCGCTGTTGCTCAGAGCTCAAACTCTTGAGCGAGCTCTTAAGCAACTGAGCCACTCAGCCGGCCCCCAATTTGTACTTTCTAATCCCTTCACCTTTCTCATCCAGCCCCCCAACCCCCCTCCCATCTAGCAACCATCAGTTATTCTCTGTATCTATGAGTCTATTTCTGTTCCATTCTGTTCATTTATTCTGTTCTTTAGATTCCACATATAAGTGAGATCACACGGTATTTGTCTTCTTCAGTCTGACTTATTTCACTTAGCATTATACCCTCTAAGTCCATCCATGTCGTTGCAAATGGTAAGACTTAAGATTTCATTCTTTTTTATGACAGAGTAACACTCCATTGTATAGATGTACCACAATTTATACAATTGTCTGTTGATGGGCATTTAAATTGTTTCCATATCCTGGCTGATGGAGAATAGCGCTGTAGTAAACATAGGGGTGCAGGTATCTTTTCGAATTAGTGTTTTGGATTTCTTTGGATAAATACCCAGGAGGGGAATTGCTGGGTCATAAGGTAGATCTATTTTTAATTTTTTGTGGAACCTCCATACGGTTTTCATACTGGCTGCACCAATCTGCAATCCTACCAGTACTGCACGAGGGTTCCCTTTTCTCCACATCCTTGCCAACACTTGTTATTTGTGCTGACTATTTTTAATTAAAGGAAGAGGGGTGAGTGAATGAAGAAAAGACATGAAAGTTGGACCTAGGGGGACAAAGAAGTAAAGGCAATTTCAAAAGAGAAAACTGAAATGAATGGGAGAAAGTACCAAAAGCCCAGGCCTCTACCAAGAGGTCCTCTCATAGGTGTTTGCTGGTAAGATTCTGTATAAAGCCATCTTCCTTATCAAGTACCACACCTTCCATGGCACCACCCACAACCTGCATACTTCAGTAAGCAGCAGCATACTTTCTTTAATATTATCAATTGACTTTTTTTTTTTAAGATTTTATTGGGGAATTGGGGGAGGGGAACAGTGCTGGGGAATTGGGGAAGGGAAACAGACAAGTTGCTGTCCTTTTATTCTTCAGTCTAGTTGTGGAGGACGTCGCTTCACTGGCCCGTGTTGGTATTATGATTGTGCTTTTCCCAGGTGAGGCAGTCACTCGCCAGCCATTGGATAGCTGCTCATGGCAGCTCACAAAAGCTCACGCCAGCTGCCAGCCAGCCCCACTGCAACCTATGCCATCACCGGTGACTCATGGCAACCCAGCTCTAGGTTGAGCTGTTGTTCACCATCTTAGCTGAAGAGGGTGCAGCGTCACTGGCCATAATGTGGGATCTGAACCAGGGCCCTGCTGCCCATAGCTGGCGTCCCAAGCCAACTCCTAACCAACGCGCCACTTGGCCGGCCCTATCAATTGACTTTTAATGTTTCAAATTAAGTCTGAGAGAGGGAAACTGAACTATTCTTCCACTGACAATAATAATAGCAAACAGAGTGCTTACCACGTGTTAGGAACTATTCCGGTGCTTTACATATAATAACTCTT